CTTATTATTATTATTTTTTTTTTTTGACAGGCAGAGTGGACAGTGAGAGAGAGAGAGACAGAGAGAAAGGTCTTCCTTTTTCCCTTTTTCTGTTGGTTCACCCTCCAATGGCCGCTACAGCCGGCGCGCTGCGGCCGGCGCACCGCGCTGATCCGATGGCAGGAGCCAGGTGCCTCTCCTGGTCTCCCCTGGGGTGCAGGGCCCAAGCACCTGGGCCATCCTCCACTGCACTCCCGGGCCACAGCAGAGAGCTGGCCTGGAAGAGGGGCAACCGGGACAGAATCCGGCGCCCCAACTGGGACTAGAACCCAGTGTGCCAGCGCCGCTAGGCGGAGGATTAGCCTAGTGAGCCGCAGCGCCGGCCGATAAATCTTATTAAAACAAAACTCCTGCATGAGTCTGGGAGCCCAACCACAGCACTGTGGAACGGGAACCACTGAGAAATCAAGACAGTAAAAGTCACTGGCAATCAAATGGCAGGAACAGAGCACAGCGAGCTTGAAACACCAGGAGTCTCCCATAAAAGGACTTAAGAGATTCCAGCCACCTGCTGAGAGCTATTTACAATACCGAGTAGGCAGAGCCCAAGTGCTCAGGGACTGCTTGAATGAGAAGTTGTTTAAAAACAGCATCACTCCACAATTCTTTTACTCATTTACAAAATAAGGGAGCCCACCTTGTGGCATAGCGGGTTCAGCCACTGCCTGTGATGCCAGCTTCCCACCAGAGCACCAGTTCAAGTCCCACCTGCTCCACTTTCGATCCAGCTCCCTGCTCCTGTGCCTGGGAGAACAGCAGAAAGTGGTCCAAGTGCTTGGGCCTCTGCCACCCACGCGGTTTGTTAACTGCTGCACTAAAGGCTTACCCTGACATTGAGCTTCACACATATGAAGGCAGAGTTAGAGGTCTTCCATCCACCGGTCACTCCCCAGATGGCTTAACCCCACTGTACTACATGCTGGCCCTTCAACTATTTTTCCTTTAAAAGCTCCAAGTCATGGTGGGAGGGGGGCATGGAGCAGGGGAGACTATTCCAGATGGAGAGGAGAAACATGACCAAATGTATACACGAACCGTGACAGCAACCTGGATGAGGGCAAAGGGTTTAAAAGACTAGGGGACAATGTCTTCACACAGATCCATCATATTCCTGGGGGATTAGGAATGATCAACGCATGGCTGGGTAGGCGTCCATGCTCCTGCCTGGGAGATGGATGCCTAAGTTTTGGGAGCGGCAGGTCCAGATGTCACAGCAACAAACTAGAGAAGCACAAAGCAAACTAGAGAAAGTACACGTGGCATGATGTTAGCAGTCTTTGAGTCTCTGTGGAGGCTATTCGCTTATTGTGCTATTCGGTTCTTCTGCCTATTTAAATTTTTTTTTTTACAAATATTCTTTTAAAATTCATCAAGACTTAGCATAAATTCAACTTTCCTATGAACACAATTTCTGAAAATATAACACTATCATCAGCCAACTAATCATATTATTTGTTGTATTCCTGCTACATGAATCCACCCCGTGAACAGATACGAATCCTGTTTTGTTTCTTTTTAAGACTTACTATTATTTGAAAAGCAGAGTGACAGAGGGAGACAGTGATCTTCCATCCATTGGCTCGGGGCTGAGCCAGGCTGAAGTCAGGAGCCAGGAACTTCATCCAGGTTGTCCATGTGGATGGCAGGAACCCAAGTATCTCCCACTGCCTCCCAGGTGCATTAGCAGGAAGCTAGATAAAGTCAAGAAATGAGCACCAGTTCAAGTCCAGGCTGCTCCACTTCCAATCCAGCTCCCTGCTATGGCCTGGGAAGGCAGTAGAAGATGGCCCAAGTCCTTGGGCCCCCACACCTGTGTGGGGGACCAGGAAGAAGCTACTGGCTCCTAGCTTTGGATTGGCTCAGCTCCAGCCATTGCAGCCATTTGGAGAGTAAACCAGAGGATGGAAGACCTCTCTCTGTCTGTCTCTAACTCTGCCTTTCAAATAAAATAAATCTTAAAAAAAAAAAAAAGAGTTGCATCTTTAAAAACAAAAGAAGATGGCACTCCAACTGAGGCAACTCATACAGACACACACATCCCCAGAGGTGGTTCAACCCCATGCAACACAACCACCATTACCAACTCACACCTTCACAGAATCGCTCCTCATGAAACTGCATGTGAACATGTATTTGCGTGCATGTATATCTGTGTGTACATATATGTATGTGGGTATGTGTGTGTTGGGGGAGGTGGTTTTGCAAGGCTTCCCTGAGGGGTGCCTACACTGAAGCCAGGACAGTTGGTGACACCTAGTGCCAGCATGGTGGGCACAAGGGCCCAGGGAGAGAATGTGCGGGACTGGGTGGGCCCGGTGGCGGAGAACAACTATTCCTACTCTGCCCAAGCCCCCAGCCTTCTTACACAGCCTGCTCGTCTCCCAGTCCCACTGACCACCCTCTCCCCACCACCTTGAGACCTAGGACAGCGCAGGACATGGCCGCCTGGTGCTTTCCCAACCTCCTACACCCACCTGCGTATATAGCCCCTGCATTCATATTTCCTCAGATTACCCCGTTTTGGTGAGCTGCCATTTCCGGCCAGCAGCCTGCCATTACAAGCACCTCTAGGGACGCACTGCAGAGACTTAGCAAACACACATACTGCAGAAGTGCATGGAAAACGCAACTCCCAGTGGTGCGAAAGTTCAGACTCACGCAGTGTTTCCGTAACACACATCTCCCATGAACTTCTGAAGAGGTGTTTAGAATGGGAACGGAGGCCTGGGAAGAGGCCCAAGACGAAGCCTGGGCCAACAAGGTTGGGTTAAGAGAACCTGGGGCTGGCCACTTGCCGTAGCTGTTACGTGGCCACTAGAGACACCACCATCCCCTATCTGCGTGCCTGGGTTCACGCTCCAACTCCTGCAGTTCCAGGCCAGCCTCCTGTCGGTGCACACCCTAGGGCACAGCCCATGATGACCCAAGCTGTCCACGAGACCAGGACGGACACTCTGCTTCCTGGATTTAGCCTGGCCCAGACCTGGCTGTCGCGGGCGTTTGCGGAGTGAACCAGCTGATGGAAGCACACTTACCCTTTGCCTTTCTGATAAAATAAAGAAAAAGAGGAAAACTTCGAAACCAGTGTCATCAGTCTACTCCCAGAAAACAAGAGCTGGGAGAGGCTGGAGGAGCAGGCTGAGGTGTGGCAGGAGGCGGGACCAACCCTGGAGTGGCTTATGAAGGTAGCTGGAGGCCAAGAATACACTCTGTACCCTCTGAAAATAAACAAAGAGGTATCACTGTGAAGGCTCCTATTCCCCACCATCAGGGGAAGACCCCGAGATGTCTGAGTCTTCCTTTTAAAGCATCATAAACTAAGTGTGAAACACCCATTCTTCCCGGCAGGTGCAAAAACCCCAGTGCCTGGACGAAGTGACACTAATGTAAGCTGAGCCCGAAGGCAGGACACAACACCCGGGACAATCACTTGCCCTGGCGCAGACCAACACAAAGGGCTGTGACACCATCTTCTCTACACAGGACATTCAAGCTCTTTCCCACCTACGCTTGCAACTCAAGTCTTCCCAAGACCCTCTCCCCAACACGCAGTAAGAATAGTCTCCAACCAGCATCCGGGTACTTGATCCCCAAGCACTTCTGTGGTTACAGTGAGTAACCAAACTCCACCACTTGAGAAATTGCTGGAACCGTCAGGTCCCTTTCTTTGAGAACATGAGCTGTGGAATTAGCTATGATCCAGTTTGGCTCTCTCCTCCCTTCCCAGCTCATGGAACACCACCCACAAACGACACCAGTGCAATGCAAGGTGGAATCTGGGGCACTGGTTAACCATCCCATGGCTGCCTGGGCCACCCGGAGCATGCAGTGGCTTCCGGCTTGGCCCTCATGGAGACCATTTTTCTCTACAAAAACAAAAAATACGTAGCTTTCAGTAGGATCAAAATTCCAGAACAAAACTGACCAAGACAGAGTGCAAGACCCCTGTGCCTGTACACAGCCGGGCTCTCTCAGCCTTCAGAAGAAAAGCAGAAGAGAACCAGGCACTCGCTTCCGGGTGAGATGAGGATGTGGTCAGGATGGTCCTCCAGCAGCATAGACCATGGGGACTGGGCCAGAGGGGCGGCACACGTTGGCTCTAGCCATCACCCAGCCATAAACACAGGTGCTGTCACCTTTCTCACAGCGACTACATTAGGTGCCAGCAGTCATCTGGACTATCAAAGCAAACGTAAGCCCTCACAATACCTACCTCAGCTCAGAGGACCTGCCTTTTAAAGGTAATAAAACAACTTGATTTTAAAACTTGCAACTCTATGAGGTTATTTTCTAAGGTATTACTCCAATGGCTAATAAGGGGCAGATACAGCAATCTGAGAACTCAGGTCCTACCCGCTATGCAGAAAGAACCCCTGCTTCCAATCTTTGTCTCCCAGTCCCAGTGATAAAGACGGTTTGAACAAGCCTGGTTCTAGTCCTGGCTCCTCTGCCTCGGAGCCAGCTTCCTACTTACTAATGCATACCCTTGAGAGGCAACAGGTGACAGCTCAAGTGCTTGGGTTCCTGGTTCCTGGCTTTGGCCTGGCCCAGCTCTAGCTACTGGAGGCATCTGGGGAGTGAACTGGTGGACAAAGGATCTTGTCTGTCTTTGCCTTTCAAATAAAACATGAAAAATAAATAAAATGAAGGTCCCTGAAGTCTCAGTGAGGCTCCCCAGTCTGCCAATAAGAAAATCAAATCCCAGACAACAGCAAATCCACAGCACAGACATTCCCGGGAAGCTTGCTTCATCCTTGTTCAAACTGTCATATCACTGGGCTAACAGCAGTGCACCTTGGGTAAAATGTCCTTTATTCTAAAGTCTTTATTTTCGTGGGCCAAGAGGTTTTTTCCTCTTCCTGGCTTTGATAATACTGAGGACTCAGCTGGATGTTTTGTGAAAGCAAGACCACTGGTTGCTTACCAAAAACCTCTGAGAACAAAGCCATGAGACAGCTCCCTTTTATTTTCTATTAAGACTAAATTTATTCAATACCCTAGTAAAAGTTTTGATTATAAGTATCCAACAGTATAAAAAGTACAAAACAGATCTGTAGATGTCTAATATATTAATACAAAGTGCATGACTACACACAGTACGTCCTACAGGCAGAGAGGGGGCGGGGGAGAAGACGGTGGCTGAGGTCTAGCAATAAATAAATAAATACAGAAGTAGAGATGACCCACGTTATAGTATATTCTACCACCAGTACTGCAACCAACATGTACAAAAAAAGAAAAACAACAAAGCCATTTCGAAGTAACTCAGGATGGAGGATGATAACAGCTGGACCCTTGCGTCCCCTTTTGAGGCAGGGGGAGTCGGGGGTGTGTGGGGTCGGGAGCAGGCAGGCTTTTTCCCACAAGGGAGAAATGCAACCTGTTATGTTCAGACAAGAGCTAGCAGACTACAGGGCTCACTCCTCGGTTAGGCTACCCAAAACCTCAAACTCCAGTTCTAAAATTAAGCGCCAAGTCGCGGCACCGTAAGTGTGATGCTCCTTCTGCAGGGGGGGCGTCCGGACAGGGCTTTTTGTTTTTCCTGGACTTCTAGAAAAGAGGCAATGAGAACACTTTGGCGTGGATACAAGTGAGAAGCTTTAAAACTGAGGATCTCTTGGCCGGCGCCACGGCTCACTAGGCTAATCCTCTGCCTTGCGGTGCCGGCACACCGGGTTCTAGTCCCGGTCGGGGCGCTGGATTCTTTCCCAGTTGCCCCTCTTCCAGGCCAGCTCTCTCCTGTGGCCAGGGAGTGCAGTGGAGGATGGCCCAGGTGCTTGGGCCCTGCACCCCATGGGAGACCAGGATTGGAGGGTGAACCAACGGCAAAAGGAAGACCTTTCTCTCTCTCTCTCTCTCACTGTCCACTCTGCCTGTCAAAAAAAAAAAAAAAAAAAAATTACAAAGACCAGGATCTCACAAGTGGAGGGCCTACGGTCACATCTGGAGATCCAGAAAGCCAGACTAAAAAGTCAAAGCAAAGCCAATCTTAGTATTCACGCACGCCTCTGTCCTTTTACTCAATTTTACGTTAATTATAATGAGAAAAAAAACAAAAAAACCAGAAGCCCTAGGCAGCTACAAGAAGTTAGACGCCGGCTCAACTCTGGAAAAACCTTCGCAAAGGTCACAGGAGATAAAAGCCAGGGGCGAATGGAACGGCCCGGACTGGCAGCGAAGTAGCCCCCAGCCCCCAAGGCGAGCCCCCAGAGCAGCGTGCCTTCCCGCTGTTTCTCAACCAGCTGAGCCTGTTTAACCCGGGATCCGTGTTCCCCGGGGCGGAGCTCTGCCTCCGCTGTGGGACCTCGCGGAAATTAAAACCTGGACAAAACATGAACATGAGGGAGGTGACATGGATGCAACACATACAGCTAAGTGACCTCTCTCTCCGCTGAGAAGTTACCGTCTCCTGCCCGGGACGCGCTCCCGCTTTGTCGTCAGTAGTACGGGTTTGAGCCCCCAGATCCTGGGCCGGACCTCAGGATTCCAGCGCCAGGGGTCGGTCCTGTAACCGGGTTACCACCAATTTGCTGTCGAGAGGGAAAACAAGGGCCGCCAGCCAATGAGAAACTGCCCCAACCACTGCTTCTCAGTACAGAAAGACTACAACTACATACGGCTTATCATACAACAGATCCCATCTCTGTCCCCTGAAATTCCCCTAATTCCATTCATTAGAAGGGGATTTAATTAAAAAAAAAAAAAAAGACTTAAAGAGCACTTTACAGCAGCATTCAGCCTTCCTATGAGATCCTCAGCATCTTCAATATTATGTACACGCATTCTTTCTTTCAGGAAGCGAGACACTGGCTTCAGAACGTGTGGACCTGGGGAAGAACCCATTCAGAACTAGTCTAGGAATTGTCTTTTGGCAGAATAGCAGGTATCCGAGTGAAAACGTTAAGAGGGTCAGTTTGTCGCTTCGTGGTCTTCGCAGAATCTCTGCTGCTCTGCCGCCGGGCCGTGGGCGGCGGTCACCACTCCTGAGGGGCCCTGGGCAGCGGCTCGGGGCCCTGGGGCGCCGGCGAGGGCTCAGCGGCCGGCTTCTTGCTGTTGCAGCAAGGCTTGAAGAGGTGCGTGTCGATGAGCACTTCCCCAAAACGCCCCTTGTAGATGATCCCACAGCAGATCTTCTGCCTAAGAGGAGGGAAAGAGACGCAGACACATCAACAAGGGGGCCAGGGGAAACAGCATCTCCTCCTCCTCCTCCTCCTCGTAACCCGACCAGCGGGAGCATGGCGTCCCAGTCCTCCCACCCTACCCCTGTCAGCCAGGGGACGGGGGCCTCCCAGACCCCCTCCAGGCCTGCCCTGGAGTCATCTCCAGGAGGAAGGAGGACGGAGAGAGTTTGACACACAGCAGCCATCTTCAGCTGCCACTCAAGCTGTTAACTTTTCTCCAAAACTCACCAACTCCTACAGAAAACCAGCCCCCCAGGAACAGGTGGACCCAGCAGGTCGCTTTACTGTGCTTAAACACTGAGTAAACAAAAATGTTTTTTTCTAAGCTGCAGAGCTGGGATACAGGAACACCTTCAACATGACTGGAAGATGGCAACCATTTACCAACACGGTTCTAAGTGTTTTCACCCAGAACCAACAGCAATCTCTTCATTGCACACCTTATCTCCAACAGCTATGAACAGATTTTATTTCAGTTTTCACCAATCTAGTGGGTATAAAACCACATCTCACGGATATACTAATGAAATCAACCTTGATCCCTTTTTTTTTTTTTTTTTTTGACAGGCAGAGTGGACAGTGAGAGACAAAGAGAAAAGTCTTCCTTTGCCGTTGGTTCACCCTCCAATGGCCGCCACGGCCAGCACACCGCGCTCATCCGAAGCCAGGAGCCAGGTGCTTCTCCTGGTCTCCCATGGGGTGCAGGGCCCAAGCACTTGGGCCATCCTCCACTGCACTCCTGGGCCACAGCAGAGAGCTAGCCTGGAAGAGGGGCAACCGGGACAGAATCAGCGCCCCGACCGGGACTAGAACCCCATGTGCTGGCACCGCAGGCGGAGGATTAGCCTATTGAGCCACAGCGCCAGCCCCTTGATCCCTTTTACTCTTCGTCATAAGAAATCTTTTTGGCACTGGTGATGTGGCATAGCTCCACTTCCAATCCAGCTCCCTGCAAGTGCTTGGGTGTCGCTCCCCCTCTTCACGGAGGAACGACACAGGACCCTGCGCTTTTCTTTTGTCTGCTGCTCAGCCCTTCCCGGGTTTGCTGCTGTCCCTCCACCTCCGTGGAGGGGCGGGCCCCCCTGCCACTTTTCCCACTTCCGCGGGGGAGCGGCACACCGCCGGCCGGCTCTCTCGGGGGCTGCTCGGATGTTCCTCTTAGATGTTCCCGGTGCATGTTGTCTCTCTCCTCCTTTATAGTCCTCTTCCACCAATCCCAACTCTGCTACCCACACGCCGAGTACGCTGCTCTCCTCCAATCAGGAGCAGGATCAGCTCCTGCAGGTTATTGGTCAAACTGGAGGCAGCTGCGTAGAAGCTGTTTACTCCTCTCCCAGCGCCATATTGTGGGAGAGCAGATGCATAGAATAAGTCTTAATTCCAGTAACTTAGTCTAGTCCGAGTTGCTCCCCACACTTGGGCCCCTGTACCCACATGGGAGACCCGGAGAAAGCTCTGGATCCTAGCTTCGGTCTAGCCCCAGCTCTTGTAGCCATGTGGGGAGTGAACCAGCAGATGGAAGATCTCTCTGTCTCCCTCTCCCTCTCCCTCTCCCTCTGTAACTTTGCCTTTCAAATAAATAAAAAATCCTTTCCTATCCAAAAGCCACTTTCGATATTCCAGCATCCATAATTGACGTGTGTTTGGGATCCAAGCTTAACTTTCCCATATACATGACTACGTTGTAGCCAACACCCTAACAGCACTTACTGCTTGTCCATGTCCCCTCATTGGTCCCCACGTGGCAAGTATGTCCACACTCAGGCTCTGCACTCTGTTCCAATGGCGTCTTTTCCAATTTCTAGCCCCAAACCACACTGTATTGATTACCATGGCTTCGTATGTCATGATCTCCCTTAGGGCAGACATATTTACACCTTTCTTACTCTGCTGAAGACCACGTGGGCCCTTTGCTCTTCTACACAGATCTTAAATCCAGCTCACAGAGTTCCCCAAATACGCTGCAGTTTCGGCTGCAATTACCAGTTTACGAGATCCATCAACGTGCTGGCCCTCGCAATTTGTGGGCATTTTCAAATGTCATCCAATAACGTATGGTTTCCAAATCTCTCCATAAGGAGCCCCGGACATTCCTCACTGTGTTATTTCATATCCTGTAACGCTATGTAAGGTATGTTCTAACGCTAAACTATATGGGGTTTAAACCCTGCTCTACTTCCGTGTAACTGACACGTGAGACACACATGTAGACATGTGCAGACACTAGACAGACGACTCCCTTTGTGCCTGTTCCCACAGAATGCTTCACAGAGGTTGTAAGGATGACCTGAATCAGTACGGCGCACTGTGTGCGAGGCCCTGGCCTAAGAGGTCACACTGCTTACTGTCACCAACACCACCAGACAGAACCTCCTGCCTAACAATGAGGACAAGCAGTGCAGTGAACACATGTCCATCTGTTCCTGATCTTACAATGCTTTCAGCTCATCACAACTACATCGGATGCTGACTTTTTCCTTTTGTTTGTTTTTTTGGTAAGCAGCCCCCTTTACCAACCATCATGCAGTAAATTTCCCATCCGACATTCTGAGGATTAACCCACTCCCAGGGTGCAGTTTTGGTGGTAGGCCTGGGGTCTCTGGCCCCTCGCTCACGGTCTGGAAAAGCCAGTGCTGCTCCCGTCCGGGACTCACTTTCCATTGTACCCTCAACGTTACAGCTCGATTTTTCTGGTCAGACCTTCCTCAGAAATCAACTCTTCCCTTCAGTGATTTTCTCCACTGTTTATCAACCCTTCTGTTCCATTTATTTCTACTCCTATCTTTAGGATTTCCTTGTTCTAATGTCTCTCTGTTGGGCTTTCTCAACCTCCATTATTAGACAGTTATCAGTTCAACTGTTTTAGTCTTTCTTTCAGAAGTGCATTAAAGGCAATAAAGTTTGCTTCGTCTACCTTTTCAGCTTCGGTCCACACATTTTAATTTGTGGTATTTTTCAGTTAGTATTCAGTTATAAATATTTCCTAGTTCTGGCCCAGTGCTGTGGAATCCAATATTGGTGGCAGTTGGAGTCCCAGCTGCTCCACTTCTGATCCAGCTCTCTGCTGACTGCCTGGGAAAAGCAGTGGAAGACGGCCCAAGTGCTTGAGCCCCCACACGCACGTGAGAGACCTTAAAGAAGCTCCTGACTCAGGCCTGGCCCAGCTCCGGCCATTGCAGCCATTTGGGAATGAGCCAGCGAATAGAAGACCTCTCTCTCTGTATCTCCCTCTCTGTGACTCTGCATCTCAAATAAATAAATCATTTTTTTAAAATTTCCTAATTTATGTACCTTTTACAAATATATATGATACTGGCTATGTAGGTGTGGTTTACCTAAACATGCACTATTTTACTTATCCTGCTCTTCCTCTTCGAGTATCAATCTGGGATCTCTTTCCTCCTGCTTCTTCACAGAAAGTCAACTTAGAGCAAACTCACTCTTCTGTTACAGTGTCTTATGCACTTGTACATAAAAGACATTCTGCTACATCTGTAATTCAGGTGGAGAGTTTATTGCTTCTTGGTCCACCACAGATACTAATCTTTTGCTTTCTGCCTTCCTTTGCTCCTAGCTTTGGGTATTTGTTGCTCCTTAGAAAATAATGTATTTTCTCATTGCTTACACACCTGTTTATGTAGTTCCACTATGATGTATCTTTGGTTGAGATTATTATTATTATCTTATTTTTAATTTCTTCGTCTTCCTAGGTCTAAAACCCAGAAAATCCTTACCCACTTTCTCTTTGACAACATTGTCCCTTTTCTACACTCTCCTTGTGGACTCTGGGGCCACTTATTTGGCCTCCACATCTTACTGGGACCCTCACTCATCAAATGAGCACTTTCATCTTTTTACAGTTGGAAAGCGACTGTCAATATCTACTCTACCCCATTACAAGAAATGAGGAACGGGAGGGGGCAGTTTTTAGTTTAAATGCATGGGAGTAAGATGAACACACAAAACCCCAACCCTGCTTCACCCACGTCCAACAACGTGTGCTACAGCTGTTTACCAAATGCCATTAACTGCTAAGTGAGACGCTGCTGCCTGTCACCAAGATGGCTCACTGATCAGAGATACTTTCTGTAGCTTTTACCTTTTCCAGTAGGTGAGATCTAAAAAGGAGAAGACCGGTGTTCTGCTGGAGCCGGAAGCCATCTCTGTATCTGAGCCGTCATCTGACTGGTTACTGTAACAAGGGGACTGAGCTGGAGAGGCACTTGAGGTGGTGCTGTGAGCGTCCGAATCTGCAGTAAAGACAAAGGCACAATTTCATTACCTGTAACTGGACTTGCAGACGTTCCTCAACTGTCAGTGGAGTTCCATGCCGACAAACCCAGCCTACAGTGCAAACGTCCCAAGTCAGAAACGAACGCAACAGCAGGTGCTGTGGCGCAGAGGCATAAGCGACCACTTGCAAGGCCAACACCCCTTACTGGAGTCACAGTTCCAGTCTCGGTTACTCGGCTTCCAATCTAGCTTCCTGAAAATGTGTAGAAGAGGCAGCAGAAGATGGCCCAAGGGCTGGGGCCCCTGCTACCATGTGGGAGACCAAGACAGAGTTCCTCGTTTCTGGCTAGAGCCTGTTCCAGCTCCAGGGACGTGAACCACAGGATGGAAGATCTCTGAAGCTTTGTCTTCCAAATAAATAAATAAATATTTTTTTATTTGACAGGCAGAGTTAGACAATGAGAGAGAGAGAGAGACAGAAAGGTCTTCCCTCCGTTGGATCACCCCCCAAACAGCTGCTACAGCTGGCACGCTGCACCGATTCAAAGCCAGGAGGCAGGCGCTTCCTCCTGGTCTCCCATGGGGTGCAGGGCCCAAGCACTTGGGTCATCCTCCACTGCACTCCCGGGCCACAGCAGAGAACTGGACCGGGAGAGGAACAACCGGGACTAGAACCCGGCACCCATATGGGATGCCGGCAGTGCAGGCGGACGATTAACCAAGTGAGATACAGCGCCAATCCCAATAAATAAACATTTTTTAAAAGAATGCATACAGTATACTACATAATATCATAGCTCGATGACCCTCATAATCGATTACATGGCTGGCCTGGAGCTGTGAGTTACTGCTGCTGCCCAGTAGGGAGAGAGGGAAAACCACTAGCCTAGAAAACCCTAAAATTCAAAAGTAGAAGTTTATCACTTTCACATCACAATGTCTAACAATCTTACATTGAGAGCCTCCTGCAATCCTCAGCAGAAGACTGTGAAGAAACCGGTAAAACGAAGAAAAAGCAAAACAGAACCTTCTGTTCACTACTGAGATTTGAAGATGTTTATTCTAAAATACTTTGTTTTTTTAAAGATTTATTTATTGGTGCCGGCTACAGGTAAAGCCGCTGCCTGTAGTGCCGACATCCCATATGGATGCCAGTTTGGGTCCCAGCTACTCCACTTCCTATCCAGCTCTCTGCTGTGGCCTGGGAAAGCAGCAGAGAATGGCCCAAGTGCTTGGGCCCCTGCACCCGTGTAGGAGACCCAGAAGAAGCTCCAAGATCCTGCCTTCAGATCAGCAGAGCTCCAGCCATTGCAGCCATTTGGGGAGCTAACCAGTGGATGGAAGACCTCTCTTTCTCTTTTTTAAAAAAGGAAAGATTTATTTATTTATTTGAAAGGCAGAGTTGGAGAGAGAGACAGAAGACAGAGATCCTCCATCTGCTGGTTTACTCCCCACATGGTCTCAATAGCCAGCGCTGGGCCCATGGGAAGCTAGGAGCCAGGAGCTTCTTTTGGTCTTCTACTGCTTTCCCAGGCACAACTACAGGAAGCTGAATCAAAAGTGGAGCAGCTGGGACTCAAACTGGAGCCCATATGGGGTGCTGGTGCCGCAGGGGGCTGCTTTACCCGTCACACCACAGCACCAGCCCCATCTAAATTACTTTTAAGACAGAATGAGGATTTCCACTTACAAGAAGATACAGCAGACCTATTCTCTCCTATTCCTGCTTATACAATGAAAACCCTGCACACAGCATGCAAAGCAAACGGAAGACTCAAAGATGATGACCGCCCGGAACCCGAGACCCAAGGAATGACACGGTACTTGGTTTTCCTGGATTTTCTTTTGGTCTTTTTGAAGATGACATAGCAACAACACAGAAATATAGTATGACAAGGAGGAAGGAAGGAAACGCCAGTAAAAGCCAGCTTTCCCCTAGCCAAAGGGCAGTCTAACAAGATGTGGCGCTTTATTAGACAGTAACCTTACTGCCCCAGACAACACCACACCTGACTCATCCCAGGAGCCACGAATCCACCCTCAACACTGTTAGCAGGCACCTCCATCAAGGTGGTATTGAAAGAAGTCTAGGGGCCGGTGCTGAGGTGCAGTGGGTTAATCCTCTACCTGTGGTGCTGGCATCCCATATAGGCACTGGTTCTAATCCTGGCTTCTCCTCTTCTGATCCAGCTCTCTGCTAATGACCAGGGAAAGCAGTGGAAGATGGCCCATTGGTCCCCCTGCACCCATGTGGCTAGCCGAGGAAGCTCCTGGCTCCTGATCAGCCAGCTCCAGCTGTTACAGCCATTTGGAGAATAAACCAGCAGATGGAAGACCTCTCTCTCCATCTTGCTCTCTCATTGTCTGTAACTCTACCTCTCAAATAAATAAATAAATAAAATGTTTAGAAAAAGAAAAGAAAGAAAAGGAAGAAGCCTAGAGCAGGGCCAGTGGGAGGATGGTCACCCTCACCGTGTAGGAGCCAGAACTGCACCCCCAACTGGCACCCTTCCCACGTGAGCGGAGGCTGAGTCAGGAATCTGACTCAATGAGGCAAGGGGAAGCTGGCTGTACCCTCAGTCTTCCCTGGCTGTAGCAGTGTCCCAAAATCCCGAATGACAACAGAGGGTTTGAATTAGATCCAGAGTACCACACCATAATTGCTACATGTCCACATGGCAATCAAAAATCACATCCTGGGGCTGGAGTTGTGGCATAGTGGGTAAAGCTACTGCCTGTGTGACACATGCATCCCAAATGGCCACTAGTTTGAATCCCGGTTTCTCCACTTTTGACCCAGCTCCCTGCTAATGAACCAGGGAAAACAATAGCAGACGGCCCAAGTGCTTGGGCCCCTGCACTCATTTAGAAAACTTCAGAAGAAGCTGCTGGGACTGGCCCAGCTCCAGACTTCTGGGGAGAGTGAACCAGGAGATGGAAGATCTGTCTGTCTCTGCCTCTCTCTTGCTTTAAAACTCCACCTTCCAATTAACTTTTAAAAACATTAAAAAACAAAACAAAACAAACAAACAAAACCCGCATCCTACTCAAACCAAGGTGCAGCCAGGATTTTTCTAAAGGAAACAGCGAGTTCGCGCCAACACCCAGAGGACAGACATGGGAGTTATGACAGCGGTTAAGCAGCCGTGACGGAGATCACTCAAAAAGTGATAGAAACAAACAAAAACACAGTTTCCAACAAGAAATTGGAGTTTTTAGTAAAAATGAGCAGAAACTACAAAGAAGCAACAAATGGGAAATGCAGCAAACACACTCAACTGCGGAGCAGAGAGAACAGAAATGACCCACTGTGCCCAACACAGAGACAGCACAGGACCAGAGCCAGGGCAGCGCCAGGCGCCGGCACAGCGGCAGGAGGCTGCATTCGTGTCCCTGCAGGCACAGAGGGAGAGGGGAAAGAGGGACAGGCGGAAAAGCACTCACACACAAGCTGAAAATCCCCCGACTGGCCAAGAGACAGGACCCTAATAGAGTCAACGGGCCGAGCAAATGGACCGGCACGGCAGCGCAGCTGGGTTAAGTCACCTGTCGAGTCACAGCTGCTTCACTTCGGGTCTAGCTCCCTGCCGCTGTGCCTGGGAAAGCAGAGGAAGACGCACCCACGTGGGAGACCCAGAAGAAGTGCCTGGATCCTGGCTTCAAACCAGCCCAGCTCTGGCCATTGCAGCCATTTGGGGAGTGAACCAGTGGATGGAAAATCTCTGTCTCCATGTCTTTCTCTCTCTCTCTCCTTGTGTAACCCTGCCTTTTAAATAAATAAATAAATAAATCTTTACACAGCGAGTTACACAGCAAGAGGAGAAGGCGGGGGTGTGTGTGTGTCTTCCATCGGATGGTTCATTCCCCACATGGCCACGACGGCTGGAATTGTGCCGATCCGAAGCCAGGAGCCAGGAGCCAGGAACCTCTTCCCGGTCTCCCACAGTGCACCTGGGAAAACTGTTTCAGTCTCAGCCTACAAAGTCCACACATTATCAAAGGGACAGCTTTGCAGCTGCAACCAACACACAGCACTACTTTACCATAAAAATCTCAAAGTACACCAGACATATTCCTCAGATAAGGCAAAGTCAGCCAGACACTACTTTCCTGAAAATTCCGGGAAAAGGTGAGAACATATGAATAATGATCCCTCAACTTCTCCAATGTTCATTAAAATATCTTCTAGGGAGGGAGGGAGGGAGAGACAGAGGTCCTCCATCCACTGGTTCACTCTCTAGATGGTTGCAATGGCCAGAACTGCACTGCTCAGAGGCCAGAAGCCAGCAGCCAGGAGCTTCTTCCAGGTCTCCCACGTGGGTGCAGGGGCCCAAGGACTTGGGCCATCTTCTATTACTTTCCCAAGCTACAGCAGAGAGCTGGATTGGAAGTGGAGCAGCCACGATTCGAACCGTTACCCACACGGGATGCCGGCACTGCAGGCATTAGCTGTACCCTTTACACCACAGCGCCGGCCCCACAATTACTCTTAAGTACTCAAGTTCTGGGGCAGCACTGTGACACAGCAAGCTACACTGCTGCTTGGGAAGCAAAACAGAGTGCCTAGCTGGAGTCCCGGCCGCTCCCCTTCTGATCCAGCTTTCTGCTAATGCACCTGGGAAGGCAGCAAATGGCCCAAATACTTGGGTTTCTGCCACCTGCATGAGACCCCAATAGGAAATTCAATCTGGCCCAGCACAGGCTGTTGTGACATTTGGAGAGTGAATGAGCAAATGGAAGAAAGACAGATCATACAGATAAACAGACAGAGCTCTCCTTTTCTGTCATTCTAACTTTCAAATAAATAAAATAAAACAAGGGGGAAAAAAAGTTCCATAGCTCCAGAACTGAACTTACTGTGACGTTTAAATTCCTTCTGCAACTTGCTAATCTGGTTGCTTTTCATCCTGCTTCCAGACAGAGTCTTCACTTTCTTTGGTTTCAGTGTGGTCTTCAGACTGGGCCCTGCCCTTGCATCTACCACCTGGAGAGAAAACAATGGTTATTAACACCATTTTAAAAATGACATTCATGTACGTAGGAGCCACAGTATCATACTCACAGCGTCAAAAGGTCTGTGCACTTTTTATCATCACATGGTATGAAAAATAAATATTATTTATCTAGTGAAGCTTTTTAAAAAAAAAAAAAAGATTTGTTTATTTGAAAGGCATAATTACAGAGAGGCAGAGAGAGACAGAGAGGTCTTCCATCTGCTGGTTCACTCCCTAGATGGATGCAATGACCAGAGCTGCACCCATCTGAAGCCAGGAACCAGTAGCTTCCTCCCAGTCTCCCACTCAAGTGCAGGGGCCCAAGGACTTGGGCCATCTTCTACTACTTTCCCAGGCCACAGCAGAGAGCTGGATCAGAAGTGGAGCAGCTCAGACTCCAACCGGTGCCTATATGGGATGCCAGCACTGCAGGTGGCGGCTTCACTCACTACACCACAGTGTTGACCCTTAGTGGGGCTTTTTAACTCTTTGAAGAAGAATACGCTGAAAAAAATCTAAATAGATTTCTATATGGGAAATCATGACTGCGAGTTTACAACAATCAACCCACCAAAGCTAACATTTCTGCAGGATGTTTCACAGTTGGCAAAACAAAAACTTTCGTATACTTTTGATTTCACTTTTACTATACAGTGGTTCAGGGGACTATTTAGGTTTTCCCAATCTTAGACTGTAACCAAAGCAAAAGTAAATTCTGTATCTTGCCTTATTTCCCTAAGCTGGTGAGGAGAGAAAGCAGGCAGGAGACAAGCCAACCCAAGGTTTTCATTCCCTGTGCTCTCTTCAGACCACACCTTAACCTCGCGGGTCTGCTCTGCGAGGGTAGGAACAGACTCGCGGGTCCGGCCCAGCCAATGACCTATAGCCCTGGGATAGTGCTGCTTGTCAGACATTCATTCTCTTTTCCTACTCGCAGACTTTTAACCCTTCTCCAGAGAAGGTATTAAAGAAAAACTCATTTTTAATATTTCAGGGGCAGGACAGTGGTGCCACTCCACAGCTTACAACGCCTGTGTCCATTTAGGAGCGCCCTGCAAGTCCCAGCTAGTCTACTTCTCATCTAGCTTCCTGCAAACGTGCCTGCGAAGGCAGCAGATGACGGCCCACACACTTAAGCCCTCCACCCATGTGGGAGACCAGGATGGAGCTCCTGCCTCCTGGCTTTGGCCTGGCCCACCGTGGCTGATGTGGCCATTTAGGCAGGGAACCAGTGCATGAGTATCTCTGTCTCTGTCTCTGCCTTTTAGACATTTTTTAATTATTTCAGGAGGAACTTGAGGGACAAAGCAAAGTCAAAAGGAAACACCTTTCCGTGTCAGTTTGTTCTCAACTAGAGGTAAATACAGAGAACTGCTTCCACCCAATGGCTGTGTGTTACACTGTGTAGACAGCACCTCATTCACTTCTCAACAGCACTATCAGAGAGCTCCTATCTTCACACTCCATAAACAAATATAACCTGCCCAAAGCTCACACCAGTAAGTCACAAAGGAAGCTTCAAACCCGAGTCTGGCTGTAACACCCACTTGTTCACTAATAACCTGAGTTCAAAGTCATGGATCACTAAGAGAAAGAAGGGGGTCCGGCGCGGTAGCACAACGGGTAAAGCCTCCTCCTTTAGTGCGGGCATCCCACATGGGTACTGGTTCGAGTCCCAGCTGCTCCACTTCCAATTCAGCTCTCTGCTGTAGCCTAGGAAGGCAGTGGAAGATGGCCCAAGTCCTTGAGCCCCTGCACCTACTTGGGAGACCCAAAAGAAGCTCCTGGCTCCTTTTTCTTTTTTTCTTTTTTTTTTTTTTTTTTTTTTTTGACAGGCAGAGTGGACAGTGAGAGAGAGAGACAGAGAGAAAGGTCTTCCTTTGCCGTTGGTTCACCCTCCAATGGCCGCCGCAGTCGGCGCGCTGCGGCCGGCGCACCGCGCTGATCCGATGGCAGGAGCCAGGAGCCAGGAGCCAGGTGCTTTTCCTGGTCTCCCATGGGGTACAGGGTCCAAGCACCTGGGCCATCCTCCACTGCACTCCCTGGCCACAGCAGAGAGCTGGCCTGGAAGAGGGGCAACCGGGACAGAATCTGGCGCCCCGACCGGGACTAGAACCCGGTGTGCCAGCGCCGCTAGGCGGAGGATTAGCCTAGTGAGCCGCGGCGCCGGCCCGTTCCTGGCTCCTAGCTTCGGATCAGCGCAGCTCCGGCCTTTATGGCCATCTGGGGAGTGAACCAGTGGATGGAAGACCTCTCTCTCTCTCTCTGCCTCTCCTCTCTGTGTAACTCTTTCAGGTAAATAAATCAATCTTTAAAAAAAAAAAAAGAGAGAGAGAAGGAGGAATCCACGTCCAACTCTGGGGATGGCAGCACTGAATCTAAAACTAAGTAAGTGTACCCTGGGGATCTCAAAATGGGGTCCTGCACACAGCCTTAGGCGATGTCCACTGGGTACTCAGCCCCAAACCTGCCAAAATGCAAAGTGATTGTATCTGAGAAGCTACAAGTGTTTTTTATTTTTTTCATATTCCTCCAGCCTAAAAATATATTTCTTCCTAAATCAGGGGAAAGTTAATGTTAGTTTAAATGCATCAGACGTGGAGGCCAGTGTTGTGGTGTAGTGTAAAGCCACCACCTGAGACACAAGCATCCCTTACAAGCACCAGTGTGAATCCCGGCTGCTCCACTTCCCATCCAGCTCGCTGCTAATGCACCTGGGAAAGCGACAGAAGATGGCCCATGTGCTTGGGCCCCTGCACCCATGTGGGAGACCTGGAAGAAACTCCAGGCCCTCAGCTTCGGTCTGGCACAGACGTAGCTGTTGTGGTCATTTGGAAAGTGAGCCAGCAAATGGAAGACTTTCTCTCTCTAACTCTGCCTTTCAAATAAAAAATAAATAAATAAATCTTCTAAAAAATATGTATGTATCAGATATATAACTGAGAAAGAAGCAAAATGAACTAACGTGATTCCAGTTTTTTTTGGATCCTGCCGGTAGCTTCTTCCATCTTTTCACCAGCAGGACGCAGGCGTTGCAGATGTCTCCGGAACGCGTCTCATGCAACCTGGCGAGAAACAACCCCACCTGTATGAGTCTCTTTACCCCAAAGAACTCATGTGAGCACACGTCTCCACAGCTGATCGCTCGGGATGATACAGTCCCAGCGATTCCGCAGTGTATCTCAGAAATATATTTAAATTCTAGAGCCAAAGAACCAACTCTCTGTACTGCAGTTTGCTCATTTAAAATAAACGCTGTTTAAACTCCACCAATAAAACTTAAGAGATGCATGGTTTTAGACAATGCTGTTTAATTCACCTGTCTTGAAATACTGATAACTCTCATTATGTGTAAGACTAGAAATCAAGACGACTAAAAGAAAAACATAATTTATAACAGCACAGTCAGCGTAGCTTCTTTCTAACAACCTTCAAAACAACAGAAGTCCAGGATGCACAATTAACCATCTACAACATTTCAGAAGGCAAAAAGCATACAGTTAATTTCTAAAAGAGGAAACGGTTCAACATTTAACACCTTATTTTATACAAGTATTTGCTGGAAAGTAAATTCCATTTTATCAAGCAGAGGATTATCATCCAAAGATGAACTAAGAATAAAATTCTGAAACAAAAGCTAACCAACCCTGACAAGTTCCAAGGCAGAACATTAAGTCTTGGTACAACCACCTTCCTCAGCAGGTGGGGTTAAAACACTTTTCTATCATTGAGGGAAAAAATCAGTGAAGACAGAAGGATACAGAGGACCACTACCACGAGAGAACGAAGGTAACTTCTAAAAATCCCTCTATACACCTGCATGCTAACAACAAAAGGGCTGTCCAGTTACAACTTTCAGGGGCTTCACAGTAAACTTGGTCGTGGTTTGTCGCCTGGACAACAGCAGCGTGTCATGTTGTTGAATTCACTCTAAGAGCGGAGGGCTTAATACCCGGGATTGGAACACAGTGACTTAAGCAGCACCTCGCTTCAAGGCTCTGCTCGGCGGTGTTTCCTACACTGCCATTTTTTCTTCTGTTCGCTCTAAGAACGGTACAAACGTTGAATGATCTTACCCAAAACAGCTCTGGAAGTCCTTCTCGTAGCGCTTACTGTCGGTGAAGCGGGAGCTAGAGGACTTGGCCCGGCAGATGCAGCAGCCCTCTATGCTCCGGTACATCTTTGGCTTGTGGAAACCAAACATCTTCGCTTCTGGCCAGGTCTGGAAAGACAAGGCAACAGACACAGCTCTGCCGAGGCCCTCACAAGAAACCATCCGGGGAGCCTGTGCTGCTCCACCCCGGGCCCACCCAGCGCCGTCAGACAGCAGGACTCTGTGGAAGATGGCCTGGACCCGCCTCCGCTCCTGGCGCTGGCACGGCAAGTGTATGACACACAGAAGAGCTCAGGTGTTCAGGGAGGCCCCCCGCTCTCAGCACTCCCCCACCCCTGCCCAGCAAACATCCTTTCTGAAAATGAGGAAGGGGAGGCTGGTTGGTTTGTTGGCAGGGAGCCAAGCACTTGAGCCATCATCTGCTGCCTCCCAGGGTCCACGTGAGAAGGAAGCTGGAATCGGGAGTGGATCAAGGATTGGAACCCAGGCACTTGCGTACAGGATATGCTACAAGCTCTCCTGATAATCCTGTAAAATGATGAAATCATTTAGGATGTATCCTGAAATCTGAGACAAGGCATACCTTTTCTTCTTGCATCTTTGAAAGTGACCCCCCCCCACGCCCATCCCTGGATGGTAAGTACGCAAGCAGCTCAAGAGCTACCAACCACACACGACCTCACCCCCTGGGAAAACCAGCGGGGGTTTCTCCTGTGAAAAGTGGGAAGTGCTAAGCAGTCAGGCTCAATTCTGAATTGAAACTGCTCAAAGGAGGATGTAAATTTCATAAAAACCCAGGGTTAGATCTTTAAAACAGTAATTTTGTAAGTCACTAAGACAAAAATAAGCCTATGCCACCTGGCCGCTGCCGTGAGTTGTGCAGGTTTCTGAAAATCCTCTATGAGGCTTTGAGCCCAAGAGAGCTTGATGGAGATAAATGTCCAAGAAACATAGAATGAGATTAACTAAATTCCCTGCTCAAAAGAAAAACAAAACAAAAACCACATGGAGGAAGAAAGAAACTGCTCTACGTTTGGTTGCAAAAATGCAGCTGCCAATAAATCAGTATCTTAGCAGAAATAAATTTGGAATATCCAAACCAAAGGCCAATTTCACCAGAACATCTAGATGAAGAGATGATGACAAGGCATTGAAAACAAAAATAAAAACACCCAATGGACAAGTTCAGAGTTGTTGTGTGTATCAAGGACCAACTACAAATTATCACAAAAATATCAGTCACAAAACATCAGCAAGAGAAAATTATTAACACTGCTTACCGTCATGACCATAGTCAAGAGTTAAAAATCACAGAACACCATCCTTTTAAAGTTGTTATAGGGGCTGGCATCATGGTGCAGCGGGTTAAGCCCCAGCTTGGCAACACTGGCGTCCCCTATCAGAGCGCCAGCTGGCTGGAATTCTGGCTGCTCCACTTCCCATCCAGATCTCTGCATATATGCTTGGGAAGGCAACAAAAAATGACCCCATAAGCTTGGGTCCCTGCCACCCATACCTGGATGTACTTCCTGGCTCCTGGCTCCTAGCATTGCCTGGCCCAGCCCTGGCCATTGCAGCCACCTGGGGAGTGAACCAGCAGATAGAAGACCTCTCTCTGTCTCTCCCTCTTCGTAACTCTCTCAAAATAAATAAATAAATGTTTAAAAAAGTGACAGAAAATATTTAAATTTTTATTAACAAATAATTTGCCAAAAACCGAAGCATTCCTTTTAAACTTGTATATATCTGCATGTATTTGAGAGGCAGAGAGAAAAGGAGTAAACGTGGTCCCCTCTCTGCTGGTTCACTCCCCAGATGCTTGCACCTGCTCCCAATCCAGTTCTCCCACTTAGCCGGCAGGGACAGGAAAGCAGAGGACTGGAACCCAGGCGCTAGGAACTGGGATGCCAGCATCCCAAGGCAGTCTTGAGGTCTGTTTACAACGTTCATCCAGGGCTCCTCTTCCAAGTGCTTGTTGGCCAGGGAGGGCGGAAGGCAGCAGAAGCAGGGTAGAGGCCACTGATGCACTTCAGTAAGAGAACAACCGTACCTGATGACCCTTTCAGTCACAAGGCTGGGGACTGGGTTTTCCTGAGGCAGCAAGGCACGCTACAGGAATACACTCTTAGGAAAGGCCGCCTGGACTACGAGGCGGACTCCTTTGCTCAGTCCAACAACAAACTCATGTGGCAACTGCGAAGAACATGGTCACGTGTTGCTTTGGGAAAGAACAATGTCAAGTGACAGGATTACAGAAACGAGAACCTGCAGGGCTGCTGCTGTCCTCTGCGTGGGCAAAACCTTGTCATCTTCTCGGAGGCCCCTCACCCGCAGGCCAGAGTGCACAGACGCTCTCGGAAACCCCGCCTCCCTCAGCAAGGGCGAAGGAAGCACGGCAAAAGGGGCCAGTCCATTGCGTTAATAACCAGACCAAATCCTATTAGGACAGATCCTGCCTGTGCCCCCGCCCCCACCAGCACGCACGGGAACAGCACGGCTCACAGATCACCTCTGGGACACGCGCTGGACTCGGGGACCATCGCTCTGAGCCAGGGACCACACAACTGCAGCTGCACGCGGGAGCTTCCTTTTTTAACCCATGGCTGTTTCCAGTCTAGTGTCCATCGCCAGGGATTTCCTGTTGGTGGCGACCTCACACATCTTACTTACTAGCCCCTGACAAGAGGTTCCACTCTGCCTATGAGGAACAGGGGCAACAGCCTGTTGTCTCCTGAGAGTTAACCCTTCCCTGTGCAGCTGTGACCTCACTCTTGCTCCAACAAAATTCTTGCCGAACAGCCGGGAGGGGCAGGGGCAGGGGCATCTGAATCTCGAAGCTCCCCCTGCTCTTCTGGCGCAGGGAGGTGGCACAGAGCAGAAGCACAGGACCCGCTTAATGCATGACGACATAACAAAGCTATTAAACCCTCCCTGGCTCGCCCTGCACTACTTGAGCAGCACCTGGGAATCGGCAGCAAATCCACAGGGCTTTCATCTGGGGAGTTTGTTTACAGCCACCCAGTTAAGCCACAGTTAGTATTTAACCATTTTCAATTTGGGGAGCCCTGAAATTAACTGCAAACATTTTCACTAAACCTACAGAAAGGTGGGGCGCAGTGAGCTGGCGCTGTGGCAGAGCAGGTAAAGCCACCTCTGACACCAGCATCCCATCGGGGCGCAGGTTCAAGTCCCAGTTGCTCCACTTCACATCCAGTTCCTTGCTAGTGGCCTGAAAAAAGATGATGACCCAGGTGTTTGGGCCCCTGCCACCCATGTGGGAGACCTGCAAGAAGCTCCTGGTTCCTGGCTTGGGCCTGGCCCAGTCCCAGCTGTTGAGTGGTTGAATGGATCAGTGCATGGCAGATCTCTCGCTCTCTTTCTCCCTCTCTCTCTGTAATGCTGATTTTCAAATAAATCAATAAATCCTAAAAAGAGAGCAAACAAAATCCTAGCTAAACTCTAGAAGAAAAGCAGGAACACAAAATGGCCTCTGAAACCAAATCACCCTAACGCATCCAAGGAGATGGTTGGCCACTGCACACTTGAGTAGAACTGGCGATTCCTGCGATTCCGAGCAAGCTGACGGCCTGTCCTGGTGCCACGCTCGTGCACTATTTAAATGATTCCTGCAAGACCCTCTGGTCTTTACCATCTTTACACCCAAACCGTATCTTTTAATTCCGTCTTTTGTGAACGTGGAGCTGCCTGTGACTCCTGCACCGACTCTAAGCATCCCATCATGCCGCACCCTGGGCTTTTTCTCACTAGATGGACGCCAAGGCCATCTGCTTCCTCACTGAGGAACGGTTACAGCTGAGAGCAGACTGCACACGGTCTCACCCCTAAGCGTGTGTTGAGGGAGAGCCCAAGAAAATGAAGCTTTAGATGAAGCCAGAAATCAGCAGGACTTCAGACGCTGATTAGAAACCATCTAAAATCACATGGCGGTGCTGGTTCAAACACTTTCTGAATACACGAGAAGCCACTGAGTTGTACACACTGCAAGAGTGCATTTTGTGGTATGTGAATGACATCTCAATAAGCTTGCTTCAAAGATACAATAAAAATGACTGGGTTAGGCATTCTGTCTTCCTCACCTTTGTAATCTCAGCATCTAGGGCAGTACAAGGCTCCTAGGTGCTCGACAAGCATGGCGATTAAGCTTCTAAAAAATGTTATTGTGTGTACAGCTCTGTGTCATTTCCCAAAACACTTTCACTAACAGTATTCTTTGGCTACTGTCAGCCAATACCCATGTATTTTTAAATAATGTTAATGGTTACAAATAAATCAGCCATGCTAGAATTACATTTCTGACCAACATAATCAAATCTCACAAAATTAAAAAATTAAGGCTAGTAGCTAGATCAGCCAATGTAGGAAGAAATAACTATATGAACAAAACAGACCAAAAAAGGGGGGTGGGAGATAGTGGAGGGGGGGTGAAGTTTTTAAAGTGTAACAAATTAATTCTCAAGGTCTATTTTGGCTGATTTGTTGGTTTCTTCTACTTTGAAGCTGGGAGTTTCATATAAATCTAATGATCAATTTAATGCAGGCATGGGGACTGTAACCTTGGTGTTACAGGTCAAGAACAGGATGAGGTAACCACTGAGTATCAACAACACAAAAGGGCCAGTTCTAATCTAACCTAATGAGACTGCGAAGCCCAGGACCAGGCATGATGTCCAGTTTCAGAGTGCAATACAATGTAAGAAAGAAAAAGTTGTCACAGCAACAGACAATATTTAAGAAAAGTTTTCTCATCAACCTCTTAGAAATCTTAACAATTTGCAAAGTTTAAGCTCCAACTAGGAAACAGTAGGAAGAATACTGAAATGGAAATGTGCGCCCTTTGTAATAAGGAATTGGGTGTGAAGGTGAAGAATTCAGTTGTCCTTTGAATCCTACAAGGATGTTAATTCAACATCTTTGCAAACAGGAATCTTAAGATAAAGTTGACATCCATTAGGCCCATTTGGCTGGTATGTAAGCTCTACAGGATACAGTTACTCAAGACAATAACCTTCCTTTGGCTTTTTAATGTTTAGAAGTTAAGGCTTTCTTAACAGTCAAGAAACATGTCTTTCAAAACTCAAAAATGTCAG